AGGGAAGAAAGCCAGCAGCTGGACGCTCCCGTGGGGCGCTCAGCTGGGGCCACTTGTCCACAGCAGGCCGCAGAGCTGAGGTTCGGACTTGCTGTCCTTGGAGCCATGTCAGGTGCTCCCGGGAACACGGACCACTCGCCCCCAATGTGTCTAGGAGGCAGAAGGGGGTCCTGAGGACGAGGAGGGGGCTCCCAGGGCCCAGCCCCCTCAGGACCCTGGTCCCACAGGTGACCCAGATGGAGAGCCCGCAGGGGAGCGAGGCCACTGGGAGGGGAGCCGCGGGGGCGATGAGAGTCAGCTGCTGTGCTCCAGCTGTGCTGCCCGGGGTGGGGAGAGCCAGGGAGGTGTGGATCTGGAGTAGCCAGCTCTCCCAAATATCAAGGGAAGCTGCAAAACTGATTTTTTAGAGTGAAAACTCCCAGTCGATTAATACTTGCTTCATATTCACATTTTTTAAAATATTGGGTGAGCCGAAAGTGCAGCTGCTTGCTGAATTTGGACCCTGGTGCTCTGATGGGTCAGGCGGCCAGGCTGTCCCCCACCCCGGGGGTTAGGGAGGTTGCCGGCAGGGTGGAGATGGCAGCTCTGTTGGCTGAAACTGGAGAAGACCTGGGCCCACCACCCCCGGGGAGCAGCATAGAAGCTGGTCGTCGTAGTAATACCCGCACCTGCTCATGTGCTGGCCTCCGCGGCACCCCTGGGTTCCCTGGGGCAGGTGAGGGCCAGGGGGTTGGAGACTCAGGTAGGGGGGCACTAGCTCCTGTCACCCCACCAGCAGAGGGGCAGAGATGGGACTTGGATTGAGACTCTGCCTGTGTCCTGCCCCTGGTGCTGGTCTGGGGGATGGAAGTTTGCAGCCTGAGGGATGTGGATGGTATAACCACATCACTTATTCCCCTGAAACCCACTCCGGGCACCCTGGTCACCCGGCTGTCAGTGGCCTCGTGGCTCCCCTCCCTCCACCCGTTCTCCCCTATTCCTCCCTGTTCGTGCGTCACCTGCTCACTGACTGGCTGTCCTCAGGTTTTCCGTACACAGGGTCAGGTGCAGAGTTCGGCCTTCACCACAGACCTGTTCAGAGGAGATGCCGGAGGGCTGGGGAGCCCCTATGGGGGCCCTCACACCCACACTGCACGCAGACCCGCAGCTGCCATGCCCCCCACCCTGTCCTGTCCCAGATGGCCTGTACGTTTACCTCCTCCTCAAGTCCCCAGGGCCTGTCCAGTGCACTCCTGGTCCCCCGGCATGCCCGCCTCTCCTGTGTGAACAGGCATGGGGAGGGGAATGGCGGCGGGTAGGGCACGTTCCCTCTCTCCTGGTTTCTTTTCTTGGTGTCGCTCCCACGCCCACGCACGCTGTAATTGGCTGCCACATTCTTGCTTTCTCAGCGGGGAGAGTCAGAAATAGACTGTGGCTTCCCCAGTTCCAGGCGGCACCTGCTCATCACCCACAGTGGCAGCTTCTGAATAAGGAGGGAGCGGCCCGTGGGTGGAGCCGGGGAATCCCTCAGGGTGCTGAACTCTCCTACCTCACCCCTCCTGAGGCCCCGCCCCTCCTGAGGCACCACCCCTTCACCCCCAAAGCCCTGCCACCTTGGGGCTGTCTCCACACGTCCTGGAAAGCCCCTTGCTGCTGAGGTGCCAAAGCAAGGATGCTCTGGCAGCATCCCTCCTGGGCCACACCAAGCACACGCCTCGGAGAGGGAGAGGAGCCAGCATCCATTCATCTGCTCCTTGTTCGGGCCACTTGTGTTTGCCTGTGCCAGACCCTGGGGCCTACGTGGGGAATAAGACCTGGTCATGTTTGTTTCTCTGAGCCCCAGTGGTCTCATCTGTAAAGTGGGCATAATCATGTTGTCTGCCCTTGATATTAGGATTGTCACCACTCCTGCTTTGGGAAGTCCCAGCCCCTGTGGAGAGTGGTGCTGAGTCTCAGGCAGCAAATGGGCAGAATATTGTGTTTAATATGTACTTAGTCCAACGTGTATTAATTTGGAATTGGCAGTGTTTTCAGTCTAGAGCCAATACCTCCCCTTGTCTTGAACAGTTCGTGGGCCCTCAACCCCTCACAGGCCTGTGGCACCTGTCTCCTGGGGCCAGGTTCGTCTCTGTCCTTTGGAAAGCAGTCCAGAAGTGCTTCCGAAGGTGCATCCAATCCTGGCATGGCCGTGCCCCATCCTGCCCTGCCTGCTTCACACCCTTCAGTGCCTTCTGGGCTCTGGGAATAAATCCAGACCTCACCAAGGACTGCAGGTTGGGTGGGTCCTGCCCCATGGACACACACCCCCACTCAGTCCAAATGGCACTGCAGGAGTCCTTTTGAGCTCAGGATCTTTGCACGTGCTGTGCTCTTCCCTCCCCTCTTGGCTTAGCGATCCCCACTTATCCTTCTGATCTCAGATCTCAAGGCGAGCATCACCTTCTCAGGCAGTGCCTCTGTCCAGGTGGGCCCCCCTACTCTAGGCTTTCATAGTACTGTCGGTTCTTCCTAGCGCTGGTCACCCCGCAGAAATGCCTGGTTGTTTGTGTGATAATGGGCTGAATGTCTGTGCCCCTGGAGCCTGTGCTCCTGAGAGCAGGGCTGGGTCTGACTTCTCACCACCACATCCCAGGGCCAGGCGTGTCCTGTAGGCTCGCTAAACATCTGACACGGAAGGTCAGGTTAACTCAAGGTAAAAGTTCTCAGTCTCATGAAGTGGGGTGTCGGGTACAGGTAGGGGCGAGTCTAGATGGGGGCTCTCGACCTGCAGCACCACCCTTCCCCCTGTGATTGGGGTCCCCCAGGGAGGGGATCGGGCTGGCGGTGCTACCCAGGGCCCTGGGCCCTCTCGTCCAGCCGTGGGCTCCTGGACTCCCTCTGGGTAGAGGGGCAAGTTGGTGAGAACCCAGTAGGCTGCACTTTGCTCACAGCTGTGTACCTGCAGGGCTGCGTCCACCCAGCGGACTACCCCTTCTGGACCATTCGGAGGTGCCCTGTGGGCCCGCTTTGGCCTCACCCTGGCAGCATCCAGGAGGTGCATAGCAGCCAGCTGGAGACCTGCCTTCCCCCCTCGGGCCAGTGGCAGAGGTTTTGGTGCTGAGATGTCCACACTTTCTGAGAACTCAGTCCATGATCAGCTGACAACCCATAGGCTGGGTTTTCTCCAGACAGTTCTTGAGAAACCATTGTCCTGAGCAAGCATGGTAACAGGTGCATTTGTGCATTTTCTCATTCAATTTTCTCACCTCTGTGAAGGTCTGTTATTAGTCCTCATTTTGGAAGAGAACAGGGCTCCAGGAAGAAAAAGCCTCTGTCGGGCCAAAGTGAGTGGAGGTTTGGGGGTACTTTTCAGGTTTGAGGAGATGTGTGGCCTCATCCTCAGCTGTCCCTGTGGGCATCCTGGCTGGTCAGCTGGCAGCCACTAAGCACCAGGCTCTGCACGCCTTGTGGATTCTCCCTCCCCAAGCCCAGCACGTGAGCAGTTAGGAGACACCGTCCAGAAATGTGATCTTCCCAAGGCTGGCTCCTTCTCTTTCTGTGGTCTCTGTGGAAATGGATCTTCCCTGAGTTCCCCCTACCCCATCAGTCATCCATCACATCCTCTCTGCCCCCCATTTTGTCTTCTCCATGGCATTGACCACTCCCTGGGATGGTCTTGTTTGTTTGTTTACTGTTGTCTGCTGCCGCCTTTGGACTGTGAGCTTTCCAAGGGCAGGGACCACTGTGTCCTGGAGCAGTGCCTGGCACAGAGCCAGTGCTTGCCAGTCACTTAGTGAGTGAGTGAATGAATGGCATTTGGGGGATTTTGACCAGGCTGAGGGAGCCCCACCCAAAGAGCTTGGTTTTGTGCCTGGTGCTTGGGAGGGATTGGGAGGCCCTGGCCCTGGCCCCTGGATGCCAGCCAGGAGTTGTGGGGGGCAGGTTCAAGTCTCAGCAGACATCCAGACAAGATGTTAGGCAACCACCCAGCAGCCAGCAGACACACAAGCCCCCAGAAGAACCCATCAGCAGACTGAGCCCCCGGGCCGCCCTGGGCTGTGTGCTGCGACAGGGGTTATTAACGGGAGGCAAGTGTTTATGGAGGCGACATCCCCTTTGGGGCAGAGTATTGTGGACCCACGTTGTGGGCATTCAGATGCTCAGCCTGTTGTCTCTGTGCAGTGGCTACAGGATCCGGAAGTGGGAAGCTTTCTGGCTCTGCCCCAAGGACAGCATTATTGGAGTTACAAAAATAATTGGAGCTTGGCATTAATTTTGGCTAATTATGCCTCCCTCTCCTGACAAGCCTTTTATTTATGTATGTATTTTTTTCGTTTTGGCTGTGTCCTCCAACTCCCTTGATGAGAGGCCGTTTGAAAGGAAATGATCATTTGTCTTCCTATCTCTCAAACCGGGCGGGTAGGGCTGGTGGCGGGAGGGGAGCTGTGGGCGTGGCCGGCTCCGAGCGCTCAGCCCAGGAGATTCCCAGCCTGGATTGGATGCGCTTCCTCTCTACGCGCCTCGGCTGCTTGCCCGTAGAGGCAGGAGCTCCCTCCATCACCACCCTGGTGGCGGGTGAGGCTGGACCGCGGTAGGAGCAGGGCCAGTGCGAGTGCCAGTGTCCGGGTCGCCGGGAGCTGGGGACACAGAAGCTGGAGACGCGGCTGCCCGCCCCTCCCTCCGCCAGCGGGCAGGGGACCGTCTCCCAGGTGGATCTCTGCGCAGCTCGGACGCGCCGCCTGGGGAGCCGTCCAGCCCGGCGGGCTGGCAGTAGATCTGGACATGAAGAGCTGCTCGTCCGGAGGGGGAGCGCGGACTGCCCCAGCCGCCCGGTGACAGAGGACCGCCTCCCTCCCGCGCGGGGGTCTAACTCGATTTGCCCGCAAGAGGCAGCCGCCGGAGAAGGTCCCCCTCCCCTCCTCCCGCTTTTGGGGAGGCGATCTTCAGCGGGTGCGCCACCCGCCTGGGACCCTCGCAGACCCTGGGTGCAATCCGCCGGCAGCCACCATGGTGCAAAATGTAATTCTAGTGTTTTTCCGCAGACGGCTGAGCCAAAGACCCGCCGTGGAAGAACTGGAGAGAAGAAACATCTTGAAACGTGAGTAGCGGGTGATGCCCTGAGGCCCCCCTCACGTGTGCTGAGGCTGCTGTGGGAACCCGGTTCTGTGGCCTGAGCCCTCCTGGGTTCGCATTAGGTCTGAGCTGCTGAGGGAGTCTGAAAGCAAGCCCCCGGGAAAGTTGAAACACCCAGGCACATCCTGTTTAAAATTAAAAAGGAAAAAAAGCTCTCCTAGCACCGTTAAAGATGTCCCTACTCCAGGGCTATCTCATTGGTTGGCCCTGCAGATGGAAGTGAGACGAATCCATATCCTTTTGCAGGCTGGGTCTCAAGCAGGTGTCTGTCCCTGGCAGTTTGGGACATCAGAGGCAGGTGTGGACAATGTATAAATCCTACCAGGGAAGGACTCGGCCCTTGGTGGTTACAGCTGGCGGCATAAAGCAGCTCAAAGGAACGGAGAAGCCTTGGGAAACGTTGCCTGTGGCTTAGGACCCCGCGATTCCAGGACCCTCCCTCCTGGCTTCACACCCCTTGGGTTTCCCCAGTTAGGTGTGTGATTGTAACATGTGCTGAACACCGGTGTCCAGGGATAGCCTCCACGATGTAGTGAACACGGTTCCAGCTCATTGAAGCCATTGATGATTTGGGTGGTAAAACCCTTTCAGAAGTGTTTCTCAGATACTTTTTATGTATCTGGTCAACAGACTTTAGTTTGCGAGACATTTTCTACAAAAAGTATCTGCTAAGGGCCTAGATTTTTAAAATATTTTCATTTTCTCCCCTCTTTGTGGATGAACACTGCAGACATTCTCTGAGTTTGGTTTTTCATCCCATGAACATCTTTTTACAAAGTTAAGATGGTCCCGGGGCTGACCTTCTGTCACAAAGTAGACAGCAGAACCTCTGGTCCAGGTGCCACGTCCTATCTGATTCCTTCCCCCTTTCTTTGCCTCAGCACCTTTATTAACTGCCTGGAAGACTCCCTCCTTTATAGACTGTTGGAAATATTTAAACCCTAAGATTAAGAATTCTTTGTTTTAGGGACTTCCCTGGTGGTCCAGTGGTTAGGACTCTGCGCTTCCACTGCAGGGGGCTCGAGTTCGATCCCTGGTTGGGGAGCTAAGGTCCTGTAAGCCGCGTGGCACAGCCAAAAAAAAAAAAAAAGAATTCTGTGTTTTATTTTTTAAACTTAAGATATGGAAACTACTATATTATGTGAACTAGGCCACCTCTGAGGATTTCAAGAAAAGCTTTCCGTTGCTAACATGCTTAATCAAGTGGGCAGCTAGAAATGTAAAGCTCTTTGTTACCAAATATTTGAATTTTTAAAAATTAAATCACTTACTTATAAAGCTCATAAGTCACAGGTGCCCCTGAGTAGTAATCCAGGAGTTGAATGGGGCAAGTTCAAGGCCCGGGTAGTGCCGTCCTCAGACTGGTCTTTTGCCCAGAGTCGGCAGAGGCTTTTCTCCCGGAAACCATTTTCTCCCGTCAGTGGTGACCTCCTCTCTGGTCTTGCGGATGGCCAGGCCCTCCCACCGGCAAGTGCTTCTAACTGTGTCAGTCTTTGCACATAGACGTGGAAGCCTGAATATCAGAGCTGGTGCTTGGTGAGCAGAGATGGCAGGTGGACCCCGGGAGCTGACGGCGCTCACCTTCAGGGCACAGCAGGGGCAGGAAAACAGGCTTCACCCCTGTGGCCCTGGTGGTCCCTCCCTCCCCATCTAGCAGGCAGGTCCATCCCTAGCCGGAAGCTTCTCGAATGCCCTGGGCAACGGTCCTTGAGAATTTCACTGCTGGTTTGAGGTGGCTGTTTGGCTTGGTTCCGTGGAGGTGAGAATCGACTGACTGTAGCTGGTCCAGCCTAGAACGTCGTCCTCGCAGGCCCTTGACACCGGCGCGCACTTATTGCATTTTTGGCTTTTAATCAATGCGCAGAGTGTCGTCACGTTGCCTTTGCTCCCCTTCAAGTGGGGAGCTCGTGACTAACTGCGAGCGTGTCAGAGGAACGCTCAGAACTGGCCCTGTGCATCTGTGGATACAGCAGCGTAAGACACGGTGGCCCCTGTATATGCTATGGTATTAAAACTGATCATCCCGCGTTGGGCCCACTCTGCTAGATCGTATGCAGTGCTTGCTTCTGTTCCCCCGTTGGATTGTTACAACACAGCTGTGAGGTTCGCACCGCTGTCCCCCTTTCCCTAGCGAGAGGAAGCTTAGACCCCAGGAGGTCCTGTGACTTTTTAACTTGAGTCTTGGCAAAGGGATGGAGCTGAAGTTCACGCCCAGGTGGCCTGGCTCGTCGTCCACGCTCTAACCACTGCCTTAGGAGCAGCGGTGCATCTCTGACTGTTTACAGAGGACACATGTGTGACTGTCCAAGCTACCAGCACTATTGCCAGGAAGTCTGGGTGTGGAAGCTCCGATCATGGCTCCCTTGTTTTGTATAAGGCACCGGGCTTTCTGGGTCTGAGAATAAGAGATCCACAAACCCATCGCTGAGGGGAGCTCAGAGAATCTGTGGCTTAGGCTCTGAGGAAGGACATCTTGGAGTTGGTGCCCCACCGAGCACCTGGCCCTGAGAGGGACCCCGCTGGGCACCCAAAGATCAGCTCTCTGAAGCCCCCGCTGTGCTCCTATGAACTTGTAATAAAGCTGATTTGTTGTTCACGAGTTAAAAAACAGAAAGATCTGATGTTGCTTCAGTGTTTTCACATAGAGGCTGTACTTGGGATTTTTTCATGGCCTGCTTTTAAGAAATCTGACGAATTCGTTTCATATCATCATTTAAATCCCTCATGGTTGGCCTTCTATGTGGTACTTTCACAGTGTCTTGTAACTGTATTATCAGCTTTCTGATTAGCGCTTATAACTGTGGTTTCTTCTGGTTTTTCACATGGATTAAGAAGCAGGAACATAACAGGGTTTGGTTTCCTTTTCTGAAACACCCAAATGCGAGATGAATCCTTTTTAAAGAAAACTGCTGAAAAGTACAATGGCTAGTATGTTAAACGCCCATATACCAAATCCCCCAAATGCACAAATGTTTGAAATGTTTTAGATAAAGGCAGGTGATATGAGCTTATGTTAACTGCAAGTCGCAGGATTTTCCTTTCTCAGACCTGGCGCTGTTTCTAGGAGAGCTGACAGATGAGATCCCTTTCCTAGGAGAGGAATTCTGGGCCCCCTCCAGGGACCTGAGGCTTTATTTAGCAACAGAGAGAGCCAGAAATAGGACATCCATTATCTGGTATCCCAGGGCAGAGCGTACGTTCTACACTACATCTCAGCATTCTGTTCCATTTTTAGCTCCCAAGTGTAGGTGTGAGCACGGCTTGCATGTTAATAGTCACACTCCCCAGGCAAAGCCAATTTTGGTGAAAGACTAAGGGTCCTTTAAACGGCAGGTCATGCATCTTGCTTCTGCAGTGGAGAGTCAGCTGGGTTCCTGGATATGTTTGGATTTGAAATACATCGTGAAAATATGAATTCCAAGCAGGCACATGCTGCCCAGAATCTGAAGAGAATGTTCCTTACCTTATGCTGGTTGGCTGAAAGTATGTATACCTATTACATGGAAAAAGGGGGGAAAAAAAAGCAGTGACAGTTCTGTATACACACACACACACACACACACACACACACACACACACACACACATATATACACACACACACATATATGTGCAATCATTCGTATGTATATATATGTATGAGTATATATGTAACATATCCTAGTAAAACTATTTTTGTTTGCCATCTATGTTCCTAAATGTAAATATACAGAGAGATACGATATTTGATTAGGAGGGAGAGCCTCTTCCTGTTTCTCCCGCAAATAAATGCCCAGCGTCAATCTGTGCGATTATTTCTGACACAGACAAGGGCCCAGGAGAACCAGGCTGTGGCGATGGCAAGGCTTCCCTTCTACAAGTGTTTCTGGGGACACAGTGAGACCATAATCTTCTGCGCAGCAATTGGCAAAGCAGAGAAAAAACAGACTGTGATGTGGAGAAAAGTGTCACCTGCCAGGTGTCCTTTGTGTTACATCTTTAGCTTCCAGAAATATGCAGATCTTGAGGACACTTCGCTGCTAAAAAGAAGAAAGTCTCAACCTGCTTCTTTCTTTTCTTTCCCTTTTTTTTTGGTTTTAATCTTTCACAGAAAGGAATGATCAGACAGAGCAGGAAGAAAGAAGAGAAATCAAGCAGAGATTGACAAGAAAGGTACTATCATTTAAGCACCTGTGTCCTGAATATTACGGGGAAAAAGGTGGATAGAGGAAAGCTGCTTCTGTAGCAGCGGGGATGGGCGATACAGGGCCTTGCTCTGTGATAATGAGTGATGGTTTCTGGGGTAACACTTAGCAGATGCTCGAAAAGCAGTGCCTTTTGCCACGTCCCATGGTGTGACCGACATGCCTGTGGACGATGTCCTTACCTAGCGCCAGAGAGCGTGGCGTGGCCGTGCAGCCCAGATGACATTTCCATTTGTTTCCAGGAAGTCAGACGTTGACTGGGCATGCTCTTCATTTATTCGAGCTCTGTACACGCTGCTTAAGGAAAGTGCGTGCCTGGATATCAGTGTGTTGGTTACCTTTCACTTGTCTAGAAGCTCCTGACTGCAGAAAACTTTATTAACCTCAAGGGTTTGTATCTGGGGCTCAAATAGTTAAGTCAAAACGTACTATGGCCAACATAGGTAGCAAAGTCTATAAACTCTGATCTCCTTTTAAAGCCCTGACTATCTCTAAATTCAAGTGATCTGGTGTTATCCTTTCTCTACTGTGTTCTGTAATAATAATAATAATGATAATAATAATGATGATGATGATGAAATCTCGTCTTGCTTGAAGTTAATAGAATATCCTTCCTGAGCTTGAGTTATGAGCACTAGTAGAGTAGTATTTAGCATTTCAACTTTATCAGAAGCTTTTTTGGTAAAATCCTGCCTAATGATAGTTGAAAAGCAGCAGCTGCTGCTGTGAAATTTTTCCCAAGTTAATTCATCAGCCTTTCCTTGAGCTGTGCTGTGAACAGGGCACCGCTAGCCTCCTGGGGTGTGAGTGCTCCTGATGGGATATGTTAAGGGGAGGAGGCTGTAATTTAAGAGTGTATAATTTAAGCCCTTCCCATTAGAGATTTTTTTTGCATTAGGATTATATTTCACAATTTCAGACTTTTACATTTATTTGTAGAAGGGTACTGTTTGTGCAGAGTACTTTAGGAAAGCTAGTTTGGCATGTGAGACCTAACTATGGTTATCTTTTATTTTAGCTGAATCAGAGACCCACGGTTGATGAACTGAGAGACAGAAAAATTCTGATACGATTCAGTGACTACGTGGAGGTGGCGAAAGCACAGGACTACGACAGGCGGGCAGACAAGCCCTGGACAAGACTGTCGGCAGCAGATAAGGTGCAGAACAGACCTGTCTGCGCTGGCTGGGGGTGCATGTATGAAAGAAGGGCAAATCATGGCATGCCAGGGAGTTTATTCTTAGACAGTGGGCGCCATCAGCTGTTGCAGTTAAGGCTGAGCTTGACCAGATGTTGCTTTCACAAATACAACGCAGATTTCGGGTCTTGTTTTCAACCAGGGGATGGTTTTGCCCTTAGGGACATTTGGCAACGTCTGGGGACATTTTTGGTTGTCACCAGTGGGGCGGTGCTACTGGCGTCTGTTGAGTGGAGCCCAGGGATGCTGCCCACCACCCGGAAGTGCACAGGACGGCCCGCACGGAGACTGATCCAGCCCCAGATGTCCAGAATGTGAAGTTGATAAGCTCTGATCTGGGGCACAAGTCAGAATAGGCAGGGCTGGCAAAAAAGAGCTGGATGGCATTGTTTGAAACAGCGAGCCGCAGTGGGGACGAGGAAGGGCGGAGAGGCGAGGGGCCCTCAGGAGACCCTCCCCCGTGTAGAGGGAGGCAGCTCTGGGCTCTGTCCTGGGCCGTTCTGGTTTGAGGTGTCTCTGGGGACCTCCTGGTCAGAGAGGCGGGGAGAGCAAGGAGGCGGTGGGGCAGAGGCTGAGGAGTGAAGCAGAGGGAATTAACAGCCCCCGAGCCCTCACGCTGCCCTGTACTGAGCCCAGCCTGCCAGCTATTATTTCATTTAATCCTCCAAAAGATCCCAAAGAGAGAGGTGTTGTAATGATCCCCGTAGAGGTGCCATTGAACAGGTGACCAGGAGAGGCTGGGACGGGTAAGGCTTGTCTGGGGTCAGTTTCTCTCGACTGGCAGAACTTAAACCCAGGAGCGTCTGTCTACACAGTCTCTCCTACCTTCCCACCTCTAGTGATTTTCAGAACTCTTAAGGCCTTTCGGAAGAGGAACATAATACATTCAGCCAATGAGTTTGCTGACTTTGCTAATTTTTCCTCGTTCTTCATATGCTGAATGTGAGTCCGTGAGGTTATAAATGAAATGCTCGTAAGCATTGCAGGCACTTGGAGAAATGCAGACAGGCTGTAGTTGGACTGACCCTCTCTGTTGCCTGTGGTGGATGTGCTCAGAGGAGCATCTCCCAGCCGTGAAGGGAGAATTCAGGCATCTTTGGCAGCAGAGCTGGGAGTAGTACGTCCCTACATACTTGACTCAAAGCCTTTCCTTGTCCCGGAGGCTGTGTCTGATGTTTTTGTCTGGCCTGGTCCTGGAGGGTTTATCTGAGAGAAGCACACAATGAAAGTGGGTTTGGGAAGCTGGAGGAGGGCCAGATGAGAGGCCCTGAAAAGACTGAGATGCACATCTCACCCACATGTAACGGCAAGGTTTTTTCTCAAATGACACAAAACAAAAATGTCTGAAGTTAGAATAACTTGTTTCTAGATATTGCTGAATTCCAAGTAAGTTCACCAAAAGCTGAACTTCACTCATTATTTTGATGTTCGGACGTTCTAAGTGCCGTAGGCTTGTGTTTGATCCATCTATGCTGTACCGTGATGGGGTGGGACGGGGGGAGGGTGGATATCGTCCTACTCCAGCACAGCAAATAAATTCACTAAACACTTCCAGAATACCAGCTACGCACTAGCTTGGTGGGGCTATAAAAATGAGAATGTAAACGTCTAAATGCTGAACAAAAAGCTTTTTTTAATCTATCACAAAATAACAAAAGCCAGCAAGTATTAGGAATGGCTGTCAATCCATAACCATGATACTAATTTCCTGTGTTAACTTTTTAATGTCCTGAAAAATAATGTGCAGTTTTTGAATTCCAGGCAGCAATTCGTAAAGAACTGAATGAATACAAAAGTAATGAAATGGAGGTACATGCATCAAGCAAGCACCTGACAAGGTCAGATTTCTGTTTGTATGAATTTCATGATACTTATATAACATGGTATTTATTTAAAAAGAAAAAAATGTCAGAAAGCACTGTGTATTCAGGTAAAAAAATTCAGTATTTCTGCAGAGAACTGTCTTGAACAGACAGAATGCAACTCACTTGAAAGTGCTGTTCACTCCCGTGGTTTCTTACAGGGCTTCGTGAAAGGTGGTATGTAGGAGAACAGTATTACACAGGTCGTTGTTTTATTTAAGTGGTTAACGTATATTTAAGGAAATTAGTCTCAAAGCACTGAATGTACTTTGCCTATATGTTTAATTCCCCTTCTCTAGTATTCAGAACTCCCTAGTTTATAGAACTCCCTGATTTATTTATACAAACATTTATATATTTGTTTCCTCAGCAAATATTTGAGTATCACTATGTGACATTCTTGGTGCTGAGAATGCAACTATAAATAAGGTAAAGGAGGGTCCAGTCTTCATGGAGCTTATATTCCAGTGGGGATATATTGACTGATTCTTCCATAATCAAGGCTTTTCACACAAGGGGAATATACTCTCTGTCCACGTGACCATAAACAAAAGTGGCACAGGGTGTCTTGCTGATGCTGAAGTGCTCGTTGGCCACATATCCTTCCAGCATTTCCCCGTCTTGTCCATGGCCGTGACAAGTCATGATAAAGTTCTCACATACCTTTAATCCTAAAGAGGCTGCCTGCGATGCCATGTGCCTTCAACTGTGCCAGCTGCTTTGTCATTTCTCCCTTGGTCTAGAGATGCTCAGGCCCCAAATACAAAGAGACAGGAAACCCTGAATGGAGATATTGCCTTAAACTAAAACAATGGATTCCTTTCCTTTTCTGTTCCTCACGAAGTGGCCACTGGAACTGTTATTTAAAAGATTACTCTGTGAGCCACTGTGGCTGTAGAAACCAGGCACACAGAATTCCCTCCTACACGATAGTTGTACTTTGTGTATATCAAGGGAGGAAGAGGAGGTTGGAAGAGCAGGAAAAAAATGAAGCAAGTAAACAGTTTGTTTAAAAATATTTGTTTCCCCCCCATGACTTGGCATACTTTTGGGCAGGAATAAATCACCTTACTTCTGAGTGTTCAAAACACTAAAAAATGTTTAGGAAATAAACATTCTCTGTAAAACATTCAGAGTTATTTTTAATGTCCAATTCTGTGTTAAAGAAAAAAAGATATAATTACTACATATTCTATGTATGGTAATTTCAAAATATTTAATACATTTTTTCATTATACATTATTAAAAGAGATGTTTACTAAAGATGTGTATTTTTTTCTCGTAAGTCCTTGATAGCTTTCTTACAGGACAGAATTTTAAGAGTGAGCCCAAAACCTAGACAACAGGAAATATGATATTTTTTTTGGCCGCACTGTGTGGCATGTGGGATCTTAGTTCCCTGACCTGGGATCAGACCCACAACCCCTGCATTGGCAGCACGGAGTCTTAACCACTGGACCACTAGGGAAGTCCCTGAAATATGATTTTTATACCACCACATTTTAGAATCTAATGTCAACTTTTAAAAATGAGAACGATATTTTTAGTCACATGAGATTTTCTTAAGTGCGTTAAACATTGCCACAAACACATTATCAGCTCTACAAGAACAAAACTATAACTCTACTACTATAATTTCCAATAATTTGTTGCATTAATCAATTCATTGCTTCTGTTGATTTAGCAAAGCTCTGCTCTTTCTGTGTTCTTCAAGGGCTTACCTAGCATTTTTCAAACTAAGTTTTAGGTAGGCTTAAGAATTCAGCATCTGATTCCTCTTGGGTTATGGCTGGGGCCCGAGCGGTGGGCGCCGTCTGAGGCTTTACACTACTTTAATCCAGGCAGGTCCATCCTCATGTTTTACCCATTGGACCTGCGCAAAGCTTTTATAGCAACAGAATTATTTGTGGAAGGTTTTGGCAATTTTAACTTAGAAATGTGTAACCTTAAGTTATTTGTCTTTTTGTAATTTCTAGATTCCACAGGCCATAGAGATTTTCTTCTGAGAAGAATTGTGTTTAATTTTTTGATACCAACACTGAACATTCATCAGGAAACTTTCCTGAAGTTCAGCTCACGACTCCCTGCTGTGTTTGTGCGAGGAGCAGGACCCACACACACGGGTGAAATCTTGGCCACACTCACCTGTAAGAGGACCAGCAGAGGACACTCTTCACTCTCTGGTGTCTGAGGAGTGTGAACTGCTGGGGTCAGTAAAGACCCCAAGTAACTCGACCAGAAGAAAACTGTTGTTTGCCTTCCCGCCTTGTTTTGCAGTTCTGCGGTGTGACCAGGGACGGCCGCGTGCGTGTGCAGGGTCGCCGCGCCGAGGCTCCGACCGAGGGACGTGTACGCAGTGTCTTCAGTACCGTGTGGAAAAGACGTTTTTATTCTGATCACAGTTAATTGGAGAACTCTTTAAGTTCGTGTCATACAGAATGACTTACTGTATTATTCTTTTTTTATATAATGTCTAACAAAAAATGCAGCTGCAACATTTTGATTCCTGTTAATTTTGTTCTTTAATTAAATGACTACTCATTGCAGGAAATTAACCTGGGTGTTACAGTTTCTTGGGGTTGGGGTGAGAGATTTTTTAGAACAGGCTGTGAAACGAGTCCAATTTTATTACTTTTGAGCCATCAGAAGCCAAACACATAAAGGAGAATTCAAACTTTTCGTGCATTTTGTTTTGTAAATTCTGTTAGTATACGTGGTTTGTGCCTTAGAAAATCAAATTATCCTTTTCAAGTTAATTTAAGTTTATGCATCATTCAGTAATGAACCTAGAAATAAGTAATAACTTGTTGAAAAATTCTACCAAAAGGAAAATTATGCCCTCCTTAAGAGTATTTTTAATTTCATATTTGCAAACATTATTAAAAACTTTGTTATAAGAGACAAAGGTTTAGATGGAGTGGAGATCATAAAGAGGAAACTTACCCTGGCACAAATGTAAAAGGTAATCTTGGCACAAAGGGGGAAAGTAAGTTAAATAAAAATAAATGTTCCCTGAAATATATTTTTACTTGGCCTTCGAGTAAGCATCCTCGTGAAAATGAGCCCTCCCTCCTGGTCCATCGAGGCAGGGAGCACAGTGCTCGGATAAGGGCTTTGGGATCTTGCTGAACCTGTGCCGAAATCCCAGCTCTGTGCCATTCAGCAAGGTATTTATTTCCTCTTCAGGAAGCTCTCCCACCCCCTCCCCGCCCCGCCCCACCCCAGACTCTCTTTCTCTCTCTCACACACACTACTGTAATCTCTAAATGAGATAAAGGAGGGAAAGTGGCTGAAGTGCCAGCACAGTGCCCGGCAAGTTTTGTCCACCGCGGGTGTGGTTGCCAGGTAGCCCTGGAGCTGCCGAACCTCACCTGTGACTTCTCACTGCTCAAGCTACCTCATTGCTCTCCTTGACTTTTCCTGTTCTGCTGCTTCAAGGCTGCAGTAGGTCAGGCGCCCATGGAAACTGCTCAACCCTTGTGGTAGCACTTTGTCCTAAGGGACTTGTGATCAGTCCTAGATGCTAGCAAACATACTGTCAGTTTGTGGAATTGGGGTCTTTTATAAGAAATCACTGTATGGTAGAAAAATTCCAGCTCTACCTCTTACTTGCTGTGTAACCTTCTGTGAATCGCTTGACTTCTCTGAGCCTCAATTTCTGTGTCTATGAAATGATATCTAAATCCTTTCTAACGAGAAGCCAATCCCTTAATTTTATAAGCATTTATGTGTATGTGTATATATTGTATATTTAATATATATATGTGTGTACTCTTTTATACATAAGCTGTTACTTGTGGCCAGTCAACCCCCAAAATACTTATTTTCTATTTTAAGTACATATTAGCTCCCTATTTTATATTTTATTCAATTTAAAATATTAATTGGAGCCAGACTGTGTAAAAATAAGATTTCAATCTCCATCACGTAGAAATATCCATATAACTGCATACTGTGAAGCAAAGAAAGGAAAAAGTTTCCCTTATTCTAGAAATCATTCTGGCCCCCAAAGCAAAAAGGATCCGTGCTTAGAAAATAACTAAACTGCAGCTATAGTCAGAGATAGTCTGATAGATGGGACACATGTTCAGGTTTTTTTGCCCAAGTAAAGACCCATAACTAATAGATAAATAAAATTAAAAATTTACGATAAAATACAAGATATCCAAAGCAGGGTTTTTTGGTTTGGTCCAGACTCAAGGGTTCTAAGATATCATAAAACCAGAAGACATTTTCATTTGTAATCAAAATATTTGCAACGGTATCTAACTTCTATCATTGTATTTTTATTAATCATAAACTCTTTCC